GGAGAGTTTCCTCAGTGGCCAGAAGAGAGAAGGATGCACACCGAGGATGTGGACAAGTGGGTGAAGAATTTGTCTGACAGAAAGCTCACCCAAACAGAGAAAAACATCGTTGCTAAAGGGTTGAATTTTGCTGTCACACTGAGACAAATCCCACTAGAGGAACTGATCACAGCCACAGAAACAGCAATTTGCAACAACAATATTGCAGAAGTGGAAGCAGAGCAACTACGGATGAAAGTTTTGGCCTGTCTCAGCAATGCAAAGCCCCCAGCATCCAACATCATCATGGAGGAGAGGAAGGCACTCACATCACTTAGTGATGACAACAACATTATCATCCTTCCGGCAGACAAGGGTAGGTGCACAGTATTGCTAAACCAGAAAGACTATCATGAGAAAATTTTGTCACTACTCAGTGATGAAAATACTTATGAGCCCCTTATGAGGTTTGATTCTCATCATCCACTAGAGCAGACCTTCCCAAAGTGTGCAAAAAAAGTTTGGGAACCACTGCACTGGAGCATAAACTGGGTGTCATCAGGACTCTATAACATAGAGCAAACACCAACCCCGCAGACACAGTGGCCAGGGAAGCAGAAGAACATCACATCAAGAAGGCCCTGAGTAAATGTGGTTATCCCAGCTGGACTTTGTCAAAGCTGGGAAGGCGCCTAAAGAAAGCTCCAGCTGATCCAGGAGAGAAGGACAACCGCTGCCTAAGCGAAAACCTGTAGTGATCCCGTATGTGTCAGGAGTATCGGAGCAGTTGAGACGCATTTTTTCTAAACACCGGGTCTCTGTGGCTTTTAAACCCCAAAACACGCTGCAACAAAAATTGGTCCACCCCAAGGATCGGGTCCCCCGACACAAACAGAGTAACATAGTGTACGCTGTTAAGTGCCAGGAGGATTGCCAGGATTTATACATCGGGGAAACCAAACAACCTCTGGCGAAGCGGATGGCACAACACAGAAGAGCTACCTCATCAGGCCAGGACTCTGCAGTCTATTTACACCTACAGGCCAGTGGACACTCTTTCAATGATGAGGATGTACACATCCTGGACAGGGAGGAACGCTGGTTTGAGCGCGGAGTCAAGGAAGCCATATACGTGGAAGGGGAAAGACCATCTCTGAATCGCGGAGGGGACCTAAGGGTCCATCTTTCACCATCTTACAATGCTGTGATTGAAGGCATCCCCAACTCTCTGTGAATGGTACTCATGGCCATTGATCATTGGTCTTTGGTCAATGGCCCATTGTTTTCTCAGTGGTGCTAGTTTCAGTCATCAAATGACATCTTCTATAACCGAAAATCCTCGCTCCATCTTTTTCTGGAATATTAGCAAAATTAACCCTGATACCCTTTCTACTGCCTTCTCTGGGTGTTTGCATTCTAATAACCTGCTCACCCTAGAGGATTTGGTTTTCTATTATAACCACAGTCTCAATAATATTTTAAACTCTGTTGCTCCACTAAAAACCAGATCTGTATCATTTTCCCCCTCAGCACCCTGGTTTACATCTGAACTCAGGCGTCTGAAAGCAAAAGGTCGACAGCTTGAATGTCTCTATAAGAAAACTGCATTATAAGGACTGTATTATCTCTTTTTTTTTTTACAGTGTATATTGAGAACTTTTCCCCAACTCAGCCAACAGACCTCTGAATGTTGGCAAACTCTGAATCTATTTCCCACATAAAAGACTGAAATTTAAGATGATTTAAACTTTTAGCTCAGATAAAATGTATGGTCTGCATTATGGTGATCATTACATGCTCGATTTTTAAGACTTTACCACACAGCGTTTCCTGATTTGTGATGCAGTGATCTGCTGTTAATTCACCTGCATCTTTACTAGATCCTACATCCTACACAACACCAGCGCTCCATCTGTTGTCCCAGGGCAGTTTCATGTCGGTTACACTTTGAAATACGTTTTCAAAAATGTCTTTTCCTGTCGTTGTCCTGCGCATCAATTTAATTTCCAATATTTCCTCTCCACGGATGAAGATGGTCAGCTGTGCAATATCCATCATGTCTGTACTTTCATCCATAGCAACAATTTAATGTATTTCTCCTCAAACTCACATTTCCCAAAATCTCCGTTTTGTCTGGACACAAGACACCTTCATCGTGCAGCTCTTCAGAAACTTTCCCTCGGTAAATAGCCGGGCTGATTTGGTTATCTCCTCTGCTACAATAAAACTTGCTTTCACAACCAGTAGCGGTTTTAGATACGAGCGACACGGGCGGTTGCCCGGGGCGGCATCGTGGTGGGGGGCGGCATCACGGACATCGGCAAAAAAAAAATAAATTAAAAAATGCTTGTACTCATGCTGCCCCGATGTCAGCCAGCGCATATTGGGAATGGCATAGGCACCGATCGGTTTTCTCGCCAGAGGGAGTGTTCGCCCAGGGAGCCAAACTGGCTAGGACCGCCACTGTTCACAACAGCTTCACTTTGTGATTTTGCTCTGGTGAAAACCATCTGCTGAAATGTCAGATTCTTCTTTAGCTCTTCTACCTTCTGTAGTTTCTGCTTAGGGTTGCCAACCGTCCCTTAAAAAACGGAATCGTCCCGTATTTAGAAACAAAAGTACACGTCCCGTATTGAGCCAATAAGGGACGCACTTTGTCCCGTAATACAGTGAGAATCAAAAGTAGTCTATAAATGTTTATGGAATTAACGCTTTGTTTGAAAACATAATTCCCAGCCCCTCTCCTGCTTTGTGACCAATGAGCTGACAGCACACTTATGACAATTCGAGTATGACAATTCAGATTACCGCTCATCTCATTGGTCGAGGAAAGGTCGCTTACGGAGAAAATACCGGAAGACAACAGATGACCACAACAAGAAGCATGGCCAACAGGGAAACAAACGCCGACACTGCGGTGCAAGTCTCGGACGACAGTACACCTAAAGCTGGGCAGACACTGTGCGATTTTTTCAGTCGCGTTATTCAGCTCCTGCTCAAACTGCACGATTGACTCGCAGGGTTAGAAGTTGGTAGGTCACGATGCAGGTCTCACACTATACGGCCCGATGCTCTGATGCGACCTGAGTGCTCACACTGTGCCTCCATAAAATGAAGGTTATAACAGAAAATCTGTCGCTCGCTCTCCCTCTCTGTCTTTCACTCACACAGACACACCACCACCATCAACTTTGCTAAATTGCTAATGAAAAACATTGATCAGGCAGCTGTGATTGAGCAGCAGTGTAGATCCAACTATTTTCACGGTTGTTGTGGTCGTGATAATTTTGTGAGGCCACATGGAAAAGGCTCGGATGAGCTTTCCAAAGTTCTACAAGTTGTGCCTCCATCGCTTGTGTCCAGATCACACGCTGCACAGCCGTGCTGCTCCGTCTTTTTCACCGACGTTTACGTGTTTGCGCGCGAGCAGTGTGAGCGGCTCACGAGCGATTGATGATCGGGAGCTGGTCGTGAGGTGTTAATCACTTCTCGTTACCCCACGTATACTACACGACGCACGATGAAGGCCAAAATCGGTCCGATCACTCAAAAATCGTCTCAAAATGGGCCTAAAACCGCACAGTGTCTGCCCAGCATAATGTTTGTTCCCCTCAGAGAAAGGGAAGAATGGGAAAAGGAAAACACCTGGCTGGAAAAAGTTAATATGGGCATGTGCAGTGAATATCAGCGCTATGTGGCCAGAAGTGTGATAATATAACTTATTTTGTGTAATAAACAACTGCAAGGATAGATGATTACAACAAATAGATGACTAATACATAAAAGTAATACATAGATGAATAATGATGATGAGTTAAGATGCGTATTCATGGGAACAAGTGGGTTTACAAACAGGAGCAGCTGATTAGCATAATACCTCAGCTGAAGCCAATTGTACTAAATGCACTAAATGTGCACTGTTACAAGAATATTTTTCTTTCTATTGTTTTCTATTATTTTAAGTTAAGCAGGACAGAGTTCTTTTAAAGAAAGATTTACTTATATTCTCAAAAGTTAAGCATGACAGGCTTCTGTTTAAGAAAGAGACCTGTTTTATTGTGTTAATGTTGTCATTTTGAGCTAAATAATAAATGGCTAAATGATCATATTGTTTCAATGCTTTCATATCACAAAGAATACAACATCTGCTTAAATTCAAATTCAAGTCAAATGGTTAAAAAAATAATTTCACACACAAAAAAAGAGCTAGAAAATTCACCACACTGGGAAGGGTGAAGACAACTGGGTCGCCCGGCCCTGGCCACGAGGTGTCCCTTATTTATTTTTCAGGGAGTTGGCAACCCTATTTCTGCTCTGCATTTCAGTTTTTCAGCGTATCTTCACATTTTGTCTTGTAGTGCCGCCTTAAATTAAATCCCTTAGTTACAGCCACATTAGCTCCACAAATAAGATACGGGTTTACCAGCAATGTTTGTAAACATATATTCAGTCTCCCGCCGCCAGTGCAGAAAGGCTCTGTTTTCAGAATCAACTTCTCTCTTCGCCATTGTGAGCAGCTAGCTAACAGAAGTTTGACTTGATTGAGGGGGGAATGTTCCCAGGTAGCCGAGCGTTCGGCAAGGAGGCTGCAGCGCTGCATTATGGGATCTGTAGTTTGTGTGTTATTAGCACCTCATATCGCCGGGCCATGCATAACAATAATAATAAATCTACATAAAATGATCTCTCTGGCTGGATATAAATGTACGCCGGGCCTTGACTTTGACACATGTGCAGTACACAGTGAAACGAGACAGCGTTCCTCCAAGACCATGGTGCTACATATAAAAGAAGATCAACACAGGATTACATAGTGCAACTGTGTAAAAATTGCAAAAACCAATGCAACACCAGACAGAACAGAACAATACGAACAAAACACAGTGAAGCATTGACAGAATGTAAAAAAAAAGGTGTGTGTGTGTGTGTGTGTGTAACCAGTGAATAAAACCAGGACCACTATTGTTTTTAGACTTAAAAAAAAACACTTTAATCAAACGTTACTGATTTTCCCTAATGAACAGGAATAAAAGCGTTCAGACAGAAAAATCAAAGGTGAAAGATTTATTTGAAAATTGCTGAAATGGAGAAATGCAAAATGACACTTATGAAACTTTATGAATCAGAAAAAAGACAAAGAAAGAAAGATACAATCTGAGAACACGCTATATAGTCCAGTAAAGTTACACTACATATATTCACCATTAAGAGGAAAAATGATCACATTTTCAGTAGTCTACTCTATGAAAATCTGACATCTTTACAGTTTTTTTCCTCTCTACTCATGTATAAAAAATATTTTTAAGAAAATACAGACTTGGTTTTCATACGCAAGAGTCTAAAACTTTTTCTTAAAGCAGTGAAAACATTTCTGGACTCAAAAGTCGTAATCCATTCCAAATTGTAACATAAAAGGTTTAACAATTAAATGCACTTCATATACATTTTTCTATTTTAAAAATCTGCGAAATTAGAAGTAACTTAAGCTTTCTTTTGTCAAATTTGTGTTTGAGACTGTTCAAATAAATATGAAGAACAAAACAGATAGGGCTTATAATTTTTAAACAATTAAACATTTTTAAACATATATTCTTGAAAGAAAAAAAATAACGGTTTGGAGAATCCTGGTATTAAATATATAAAAAAACAGAAACAGTAGACGCTGACACAAACTTAAGGCTTTTGTGACACTGTAAAATAATGATTCTAGAAAGTATAAAACCTCAAAGATAACTGATGTAAGTACCTTTTAAGTACTTAATGTATCAATTTAATTTATCACAATATTTAAAGTATCTATTTTTTCTAGTTCAACTTTTATCAAAGCGAGGTTTAGCAAAAGTTCGGTAAACTGATTTTGTTCCACATGTGATTATGTAATATAAACATTTTCAGGTCGATCGAACCTCTGTTTTCATTTTTAAATGAGTGATGAAAGAGTAAAAACAGCTTCTTCATTGGGCATTAGCTTCAGTTGTGAACCAGTCCAGAACATTCTCCTTGTTCTCTTCAACCCATTTAATGTTAGCGATGGTTCTCTCAATGGATTGATCCAGTGCTAAGGTCCCAGAGCCAAAACCAACATCGGAATTGTCAGCCTTGAACTGCTTCAGCTGATGCAACAGACACAATGTAAATCAGGGGAGTAGTTTTAAACAAAAGACATATACTAAAAATGCATGGCTTTGTTCATATCACTAATCTCTTTCTCTCTTTTTTATATTAAAATTGTGTTTTTTCCCCCAACATTTTAATAATGAGACATGTTGTTTGTCATTCATAAAATGCTACAAACACTCAAACCTTTTGTTATTGTTATTGGATGAATGTTCCTCTTGCACACAGTCACTGCAACTTTTGACCAAATATTTCAAAAGTGACCAAATATTGCAGCTTGGTTATGGCACAAGACTGCACTGCTTGCATGTTGATGTTAAAGTTGTCATAGTCCTGAGTCTCAGGCCAAGTATTTTTGAGTTTTGTTCTGGACTTCTGATTCTTTCCTTGGACATTTGAGATAAATCATATTCAGGTTTTTGTGTACTGATTTCCTATTACTTGTTTATCTGTTTTCTATTCATATTTCTTGGTTTCTTGATTGATTGTGTTAGTTCCTTTTGGTGCCCTGTCTGCCTCAGTTTCATCTCTCTGATCTGTCCTTGGTGTCTCCTGTGGTAATCACAGTGGTTGTCTCCATGTTTGTATCCCTTTGTGTCTCCCCAGTCAGTCATGTCTCTGTGTAGCTCCGGTCTCTTTGTCAAGTTCATGCGTCTTAGTCTGGGTCTCAGTGTGTGTTACTTCCTGTTTTATTTTCTTAGACCTCTCTCTTGTGTGTATCATGTTCAGTTTTGGATCCCTTGTCTTGTTAGTTCTATTCTTCACAGCTGTGCTCCCTGGTGTGTCCACTCTGCCCTAATGTCCTCCTGTGTATATATTCTCTGTATCTGTGTCCTTTGTTGTGTCAACCTCTGTCAGTCTGTGTCTATGAGTCAGTCCAGACTGATTGAAGATTACCAATAGTTAGGGCTTAACATAACTGATTTCAGTCAATATTTAAATAAATCCAAATAGGATATGATGAGAGGTATATGTTAATGCTGTTTATGTTAAAAGTGTTTTCAGAAGATGGGAAAGTGATTGTGCTTATGAATACTGGAGCAATGGGAGGCCACTGTGCTTTGATGCTATGGAGGGCCATGAGAACCAAACCACTGTCTTTAGGTTTCAAATCAAATCAAATCACTTTTATTGTCACATCACATGTGCAGGTACAGTACATGTGAATGAAATTCTTGTGTGCGAGCTTCACAAGCAACAGAGGTGTGCAAATACTGGTAATGAGAACACTATCACACAGCAGTAAAATGCCTGTCCTGTCAAACTTATTAGTTCAAGTCAGTTCAGATCAAATTAACATCTTGTAAAGTCGGGAAGGCTTGAAATCAATACTTGAAATTTGAGATTTTGAGACCAGAGGATGACTTGAGATTTGATAACGCTTAAAGTATCTACATTTAAAAGTAGTATAACAAAATGAACAAAAGGGAAACCACATTGTGGTAAAGTCATTTCAAAGAAATATCTAACCTGCTGAAGCTCAAATTCAGTGGAGAAACGTTTGGTGACGCCGTTTACGAGGTTGGAGAATGAGAATGAGCCACCACCATACCTGTGAGAGGGAAGCACAGTTGAAGGCAAACATCAGTTAGCAGAAATTAAAGTCCAAGTCACTTAAGAACGGTCATCTCTTTCATTGAGAACGTGATTATCATCTGTGAAATTACTGAATTTCTACATGCTTTCATAAATTACATATAATATATATACTGTATATTTAATGAGTATACAATAGATTATATTTTTTAAATACTCTGATCATTTAAGAATGCAGTTCTATCCAAACTGTAACATATACAAGCTATTTGTGAGAAAAGAAAAGAAGAGAAGAAAGAAAAGAAAAGAAAAGAAATTTAAGAAAACCGTACTAATGATTTTGCGGGATGAAATCTATTTATCTGAAATTATTTATAAAAATCTTGCTTAGAGTAATGGCTCTTATGAAGCCCTACAAACTGAAGTATGAGACATGTTACTCCTTTTTTGCTTATGAGAGAAATAAATTATTTGCTTTCCCTTTGGCATTTTAAGCAACTTTAATAAAATATCTGGTGATGTTTCTCCTAATGTCTCCTAGTCATTTCAGGCTCTGCTTTAAATCCAAAACTTGGAATCACATGGAAAACAAAACCATCATCAGTCCCACACCAGCATAACACTGCGCTAACCACAGTGCATCCACAACTGATGGTTGCATCAGTTATGGGTCCAATCATGTAAAGATTATGTTATGATTATGCTGTAAGTGTTCTTTGGTTCATATAGATATGACACACAACACTTCAATATATGTGTTGCAACCTTTTTTAAATTGTCACTTTGAAGATAAACTGTAATTCTTGTTTCATATTAAAAACTATCCTTCCTAAACTGAAACTCGGGTGCCTTTTTAGAGTTATCATGTTGTACTCACTGACTGAAGATGTATGACCATCGAGCCCTGACAAAGTCCCATGCCAGAGACTGACCGACCACATTACTGGCAATGTCGACAATGGTGGCGGTGGCATCCTGCTTTCGGATCATGTCTGGATCCAGAGTGTATTCCAGATACCTGAACAGTCACAGAGTAAATATGTGTGCTAGATAGTAACTTTAAGTTACATAGTGTGGCATATTTATTAATAAAGCAATGAATGTACCTGTTGAGCAGCCAAGGTTGTTTGGTGCAGGACAGAGCATAGCGAAGTTTATCAGATTCAATAGCAGTACTGCCATTCTTAAACTGTGACCAAGCAAAATCCCATTCTTTCTTGCCACCTGCTGCAATAGCATTGCAGTACACAGTGGAGCGCAGGTTAGGGTGGATCCTAGAAAAAGAGCATATTGTTAGACTTCAGTACACCATAGATTATACAGAGTATTACTTTAAACTATAGGGGAATAATTATTTGATCCCCCTGCCAAATTTATAAGGTTGCTTAATTACAAGGAAAGGAAATGAACTGTCTGAAATTTTTATAGTTTCATTTTAAGTGATGTTATTGGCTGCTGCTTCAGAACTTGAAACTTCAACTCCCTCCCAAGATTTTCTTTAGGATTAAAGTGTGGACACTTCCAAAGTCACTACATGACCTTATTCATGTGCTTCTACGTGTGCTCCTTCAGATTATTAACAAGCTCATCCCTGGCTCTATTGGATTAATGTCAGGCAAACATGAGGCCTAATCATGGGTATCGATTCCTTGATCCTCCTGGTACTGCTCGCATACATACTCGGGCATTGTTGTCCACCAGGAGGAACCCAGGACTCACTGCACCACTGTAGACTCTGACAGCTGGACCAAGGATTTCATCCCAGTATACTCATATGACATGTATGACTCTATGTTGTACGAGTGTACATCTCATAATCCTGTCTTTATGTTTTTAATATGTGCTCAAGGTGAATGTTCATAGAGGGGATCTCTGCAGAGACTTCAGACTGGGTCTGCTGGCACCAGCTGGCTAGCTTGTCTATGCTTTTCTCTGCTCTCTCTCCAAAGATCGTGGTAGCTCTTATACCAACAGCTCCACAAACTGTGCCTGCTCTCCAGGGGCCCAGGTTGCAGCCACTGTGCACCAACGGCTCCAGTAATTCACTCCACAGGAGATTTCCCACTAGAGCAGTCTCGTGAAAAAACTCTACACCCAGCCTTTGACCAAGTGATAAAAAGTGATCTTCATATGGTGCACCCTAATGCAGCGCTTATCTATCTGCATTTTGTATTGATTAAAGATTAAAGATGGGCTGACGCTCACACAAAAGAGGAACACACCCAGTTGTTGGTGCCAAAAAGCCACCAAGAAATTATTTTCCCGGTGGCTCATCATAACCCCATGGCAGAGCATATGGGATATGATAAAACTGGAGTGAATCATGGCCGGATATTATTGGCCTGGATGTGGATGTGTTCAAATGGTGTGCATCCTACCTGGAGTGTTAGCTGCTATTTCAAAAGTGCCCTTGTGCCCACTAGTGCCTACCTTAAAGGAGGTGCCATTTGCGTGCATTGGGATGGATCTCATCAGTTTACCAACTGACACTTTGTTCATGTCTCACACACTAAAAGAACTGTACAAATTACTGCTATTACATCTATTCAGACCAGGTTCTACCACCGTCAGACTGAAAGGCTGGCAGAGTGGCTGAATAAGACTTCTGTTCATGAGGATGAACCCAGTTGAGATCACTGGTTAGACCCTATTTTGTTTGTAGTGGGAGATTTTCTCCCTTTAAGTAACTGTTTGTCAGGAACTTGTGTGGGTGTGTTGGACCTTATTAAAGAAAACTGTGAGCAAGGTCCAAGCCGAGCTAAAAATGAAATTCATTATGTTCTAGACCTGAGAGCAAAGCTATACACATTGGGGAGTAACACAAGAGCTCCAGGCCCAGGAACGTCATTAGTCCCTGTACAACAGAGGGGCAAAACTCATCTCGAGGTAAAGTGCTTGTATTGCTCCTTTCTTTTAGCTCAAGGTTACTTGCCAAGTGCCGAGGACCCTTTGTGGTCAAACATGGGGTGGCTGACACTGACTATGAAAAGGGAGGAGCCACACTGGTATATCACCTCAATCTCCTAAAAGTATGGCGAGAAGCTGGAACTGTTTCTCTGATGAGCCTGGTTAGGGAAAGAGATGAGTTAAGGTGCCAAATTCAACCATTCCCACCTTCCTCCATTATGATGACTATCTCAAAAAGGTCTAGAGAGCAGATGTTGCTTGCATTGCAACAGCAGCTCTACTTGAGGAACTGCCAGTATTCTGGAATCACCTCCATATATATATATCTATATATCTATATAGATATATATATATATATGGCCGGCATAGTGTACAGGAACATCTGTGCCGAGTATAATCTGGAAGTCCCGAGGTCAAAATGGGAGATGCCCCCAAGGGTGGTGGAGAATGACCGAGCTAAGATCCTGTGGGACTTCCAGATACAGACGGACAAAATGGTGGTGGCTAACCAACCGGACATAGTGGTGGTAGACAAACAGAAGAAGACGGCCGTAGTGATCGATGTAGCGGTTCCGAATGACAGCAATATCAGGAAGAAGGAACACGAGAAGCTGGAGAAATACCAAGGGCTCAGAGAAGAGCTCGAGAGGATGTGGAGGGTGAAGGTAACGGTGGTCCCCGTGGTAATCGGAGCACTAGGTGCGGTGACTCCCAAGCTAGGCGAGTGGCTCCAGCAGATCCCGGGAATAACATCGGAGATCTCTGTCCAGAAGAGCGCAGTCCTGGGAACAGCTAAGATACTGCGCAGGACCCTCAAGCTCCCAGGCCTCTGGTAGAGGACCCGAGCTTGAAGGATAAACCGCCTGCAGGGGCGTGCTGGGTGTTTTATATAATAATATATTAATATATAATTATATATATCCATATTATATATTACATATAATAGTATAGATAGTATAGGGTATTATATAGATAAGGTCTTCTTGGCCCCAAAATTGACATGGACACACACCTGTTGCTGTCAGTATCCATCCACTCTTGAAACCATGTCATGACCAGGTTTTGGCATTCCTCCAACCCTGTCCTGCAAGCCAGGCTAATTGCATTCACCTGATTATACCTGCAGGATAGACAAATAGAAAACAGAAGTATTGACAAGAACTTTTAGAGAAAAACTGGGGAGAGCAAAGAATAATGAATACAAATATTTCGGAGTTCAACATCATATAAGTTGAGTAGCAGAGTTTCTAAGTTCCAGCTATCACGTGTGCTGAACTGAATTTGTAGAATTACACATTTTAAATAATTCATTTAAAAACTGTATCCTGGGTCCAGAAAAGAACAACTTCTACAATTACATCACAACATAAATTATGTTTTATTGAAAAAGTCTAACCTATCTATCTGATTTATGAATGCAGTTTAGACTGGTGGCAGCTTTATGTTGAAAACTTAAAATGTGTTTTCACTCACTGGTCCATGTGTCCATCAGGAACTTTGCTCCAGTTGCCTGTCATTTGCTTGTAGTATTCAAACAGAGGGGAGACTTTTTTCACGAGATAATCCTGAAACAACAAAGACAGAACTCAGATAATGTGACAACTTATTTGTGTATTGTTTCTTTTGTATGTATATGTCGTTGGAAGAAGTTCACCTGCATGGGGCCATAGACTTCGCTGCGGTCAAACATGAGGTAGAAAAAGTCCAGGTTGTTAAGGGCTGCCTTCCATGGAATGTAATCTCTCTCATTATTCAGGTATTTGGTGGTATTAAGCGCCTGCACTGTAGAAATGATCTTGGCTCTAAGAGGTAGAATATAGTAAAAATTTATCAGATACTTCATGTTCATGTTTTCCATTGTCATAATTTTAAGATATTACCACAAGTACTATTAATTAATATCTGATAGGTAAGAATTTAAGCCCACAGCCTACCAACATATTTAAAATACATGGACAACTGGCTGGGATCCCTGGGGACCCCAAGAGAATTCGTAATATCAGAATAAGAATAATAGTAAGGCTTAATTCTTCTCATAGTATCGCTGTTACCACTTTAATGTCACCATATGAAAAATAGATTACAATTATTATTATAGTTATAAAATGTGCACAAGTTTTATTGTTTAATCAACTTGCAGATTTCATCCAAAGTACAATTACATAACAGCCTGACTCTGGTATTCAATTCAGTAATTTCAAGAAAATATTATTTTTTAATATTGTAGATAATTAAGCCATACTGAGGTCATATTGATCCCGGTATAAAAAAGCTGAAATAAATAAAATGGTAAATGGACTGGTTCTTATAAAGTGGTTTCTTACTCTACATCAGCACTCAAAGCACTTATTACAACTTAACTCATTCATAAAAGCACTTTTTCTATGCCTTTTCTATGTAAGTGCTTTCTATCTAATATTCACATACTCGAATGAATGCAGTGGAGAGCAACTTGAGGTTAGTACCTTGCCCAGGAATATTTGGCATGCAAACTGGCAAGGGATCAAACCACCAACCCAACTAGATGACCTGCTCTACTTTATTTAGAGCCTGTTGATGGCTAACTAATCAGACATAGTGGTGTCAGACAAGCAGAAATGGCTGTAGTGATAGATGTAGCTATTCCAAATGATAGCAACATCAGGAAGAAAGAACACGAGAAGCTCAAGAAATAGCAAGGGCTGAGAGAATGTGGAAGGCAAAAGCAACAGTGGTCTCCATGGTGATGGACTGAGGGAAGTGTCCCTCACATATATCAAACATTCCCTTTAGAAAAGACAATTATTCATGTCTTCTCCATTTGCGGGTAATGGCTCTCCCAGTGATTCACTGGAGTCCCAAAGCCTTAGAAACGGTTTTGTAACTCTTTCTAGAGTAAATGACATCTGACATCTGTCTAATTGATATATCATTTAAACATGTCTGTTAATAATCAGGCTAGTGAAATTGAACTTATAATAATAATGTATTTAATCAAAGTATCGCAGTTGATTCACGTTTTAATGATCATGAAGTGACAAAGCTGGAACAGAAGTAAATAGTTTTTCACAGCAGTGTACATCTCGTAATTATAACAGTTATCATGTACATGTGAGACAACACTTGCAAACTTACCTGGCCAGATTGAAGGCATCATCCAATATCTGAGCTCTGTTGATCCGTGGAATGAGCTTAAAGAAACATCAGGAAACATCAAGAAACACGTTTACAATCACTGATAATCACTGATAATGACTGTGTGTTGGGCTCCTCTGTCTTACCTGATGATTACTCTGCAGAACATCTAAGAGTTTGGCCCAGTTGTCATCATCATAGTTGACCCTGTAGTAACCAACCATGTTGACATTGGCTAGCACCCACTGATCTTGTGTTGCTTTCATAGCTTCAGATGTTTCTAGAAAGCGAAGAAATAGAACTGAAAGTTGGTGCACAAGAATAAAATAAATGTAAGCTTTTCTTAAAAAGTTGCCTTAGTTTATTGAGGGTTGCAGGTATTCATGATCCACAGTTCTCTTAAGATCCTGCAAGAGCTAATGGTGGCAAAAGGACAGCTATTCTGCACTTAAGTAGAAGTACAGATACCAGTGTTAAAAATACTCCAGTAAAAGTTGAAGTAGTGATTCAACTACTTTACTCAAGTAAAAGTAAAAAAGTACAGGCTTTGAAATTTGCTCAACATAAGAAAGTAAAAATCAGCTTTTTGGAGGATGGTTCTACCCGCTATTTTTGTGAATAGCTAAGCTAAGTCTTGTGCTATAATAATGTAATAATCAAATAATATTAGACAACGGAAATACAAACTTTAGTCTAATTTTTAATTCTAATAGTCCTCAGGTTGAATCAGTACAAAAAGGAGGAAAATAAAAAAATCTTGATTTTCTTAGGCCTACATTATAGAGTGTGACTACCTTAAAATGAATGGAGTAATAGTAAAAAGAAAAACAAACTACTTAATTAAAGTACAGAGTGGTGCTGTGCTTTTGACAATTGTCCAGTTATATAGCTCAGTTTTGGCCAAGTTTCAGCTGTTGTCAGTGCGCTGGGTCTTTTGACCCAGCAGTTTGAGCTTGAATTGTGTTTTTTGTGACCTTTGTGTATTTGAAATGACGTTCAAGTTTTAACTCTCTAAACTGTCAACAGACTGCAACTGTTTTATTTATGAACACAAAATCACCATCATGTTGTTTGCTCTATCTCAGGGACATTAAGGTACTATAGAGAGACCACAAGAATTTAAAGGTAATATAGTTTTAAAAATACAAAATTTTGAGTCAATGTAAATATTTACATGTAAAAAAGAAACAGAACCAATTATTCAGTGGTTTCTGCTAACGGAGAATCAACTCCAACAAGCAAATTGTTAGAAGTTGAACATAAATCAGTGAAAACACAAAGATGAAAAAATACTTAGAAAACACTTGTGTGATAATTGAAAGATTGTGATTAAAAGATTGGTGGACTGCAGAGGACCACCACATTTTGAAAATGATGTGCAGTCTTAAGCTGGGAATGGATTATCTACCTGATTTGGATGTTAGCCACAGTGGATTCTGCATAACTCCAGTCATCATCCATTTGATTGGAATGATCCATTGATAACTACGGCAGAACATTTGAAACATTATTTCTGCAGTTTCTTTTTCTTTATTTTGCTTTTCATTAACTAAAAACTGCCTGTAACCATTTTGCCATTTAAAAAAATTAAAAATAATAAAAATTGAAGAACTGCATAAAGAATATGGTCTTCACTTGATATATTAGGAGGAAAAGATAAAAAAGGCAATGCAAATACTTGAAGGGGGATGGAGTTGTGACTACAGCTTCTGGATCCAGAAGGAAGTGCTGCTGGGAAACACTTCCAGTTCCAGTGTTAATGGTAACCACAGGAAAGCCCATCTGCAGCACCCAGGTGTTCATTATGCTATCAAGAGTATCAGGAAGCTCTAACTTGCTAGAATCAGCAGCCTGTGAAGGTCCCAAAAAATCCAAAAAGATAAAAAAGTAAATATGGTTTGTGTGTGTGTGTGTGTGTGTGTGTGTGTGTGTGTGTGTGTGTGTGTGTGTGTGTGTGTTGTGTGTGGTGTGTGTGTGTGTGTGTGAATATATATATATACAGCTGATCCTTTCTGATGTTTCGAAAGCACTAGAAAAAAAAAAGAGATCTTAAACTAAATATTCAAATAAAAAGAGCAGAGAGATGATAACATGCCTTTTGCAGATGATACCAAAGGTCTGTGTAGACGGCATTCCCAAAGCTAAATGCACTCAGATAGGACTGCAGAAAAAAACAGTAAACAGAGATATGTCAGACACACTGCTTTGGATAAATGAGGGATTACTGTGTTAGCAAAAGTTTCCAAAAAATTGTACAAGTGTTCAACATTTCGCTACAATGTCCTCCAAGTTCTTTCATTGAAAGGGATATCCTTTTCACAGATGACAGGATATGATTTCTTAGTTTATTTATATTTCTCACTCATCATTGGACAAATTGTAATTTGTAATTTGAGAAAGATAACTGGTGTATGAATGGGTTGTTTAAAAATATATAAAAGCATTTCAATAAGGAGAGATTGCTTGGAAGAATTAAACATGATTTACTGAGATATAAACATTCATGTATTTGGTGATTAGACTCTGAAGACCCATCATGGCAGAATGGAAACCCAGCGATGATAAGATTTAGGACAGGGCCCCCCAGAGTTGACACGCTGGGGGTGGTGAAGATGAAGACTGATGCTTGGATTGGACTATTACTGAAGTGTCCATAAGTTGCCCCTCCATATTAGACTGGCCCAAATTCTTGAAAATTTCAAATCACTTTTAAATACACACCTTTTTTTCCAAGGCATTTTAGGAGTAGTACCAGAGTCGGCTTGTAGTCAGTTTTAGTCCGTTTTTGGTCGCTTTTAATCTTCTTTACTTTACTGATTCATTTCTATCATTTTTTTTTCATTTATTTGTTTATTTATTTTATTGTTATTTAATTTTCTTTGTGTGTTTAATGTAAGATTTTAAACTTTTTTCACTGTTTTTTACTGGAAAGCATTTTGGTCAACCATGTTGTTTATAAAGTGCTCTATAAATAAAGTTGGATTGGAAAGTTGGAGTGTCTGTGAGGTGGAGATGGGGAGTAGGTGGGCTGAACAGATACAACTCCACATGTGGCTGCACAAAACAAAACCTTTATAGAGGTTTGGCAGACATGTGACCGCTTACCACATACCATTAAGTTGTTACCCATTTTGGACACACAGATTTCCTAAATCATACTCAAAAACCTACTAAACCTCATGTAGATAAGATAAATTATGGAAACTATGGTTAAAGAAACAAGTGTATATGCTCTCTCAGAGGAAGTAAAAAGCTTTCATCACTAGTATCTTGCTTGTTATGTGCAGAAACTGGACAAGGGACTTTCACTATTGCAGTGAACGTTTAAATAATTATTTGAGCGAGAAGTTTTGTGCTTTTGCAACAATCGTGGTAACCAGCATGACTGAGCTGGTGATCACCTTCTGCATACAGCGGTCTTCTGCAAGATGTTTAACTGTTGATATGGTGTTTATTTACTCCTTCTTGTTGATCTATGAACACTGACCTTAACTGAGGCAGTGCAGTTCTTTTAGTCTTCTTCTGGTACATTTTTAAAACAATGTAGATACTGTCCTGTTGTTACAGCAAAAACCTCTGCAAGGATGACTGGCTGGTGGACTCACCTTCATAGTAGCACACTGTGTTCTGTTATATTGTGGTCCTTACCCTCAGTCCCAGCTGGAAGACATCTTCAGTGAGGAAATCTGACAACATCCTGAGGACAGATGCTCCCTGATGAGGAAAAAACACACTGTTAGGTTTTTTTGTTTTTGCTTTTTGTTTTCATGGTTTTGAGAGTCTATGCATGCTTTACCTTGCTGTATGAAATAGCATCAAACAGCTCACTAATCTGTGCTGGAGTCTGGATATCTTCTTCTTTAGATGACAGAGGGTGGGAAGAAGCCAGAGCATCAATAGCAAACACCCTATGAATGTCACCAAGCACGATGAGGTCTGTCTATTATGAAACAAATGAGACTGTATACTTAACAACTTTGTCGAGCACCAATACTTACATTCAAAACAATTTGGTGTTAATGAAATTCTTACCACATTCCACTCAGGTTCAGCATTATTTGCTCCCAAGTACTCAACATAGGATGCAAAGCCTTCATTCAGCCACAAGTCATTCCACCATCTGAGTGTCACCAGATTACCAAACCACTAGAGGGACAGTTCAGAAAAAAAATGTGAGAATTGACTCATGCATTTGAACTAGTTTACAAAGAAGTGAATAGAATTTGTTTTTTGAAGTTTTTTATTCACTTAAGTCTCATCTTGAAGTTATTTTCTGGGACTTCAACCCTTTTCTATGACATATGAATGGGTGTGAATGGGTGAATCAGCCAAGCTGTATGTGCTCAGGTAGAGTAGAAAAGTATGTAAAAAGTAAAACTATATATCCAGAATATCAACTATATAATATATATCCAGTTACCAGTTACTTGGAACTATATCTGAAATTGCTTTCGGGGGCCCTGAGAGTTGACATGAATGTTTTCCAAAGCACTTAAAACTTAATTACTGCCTATATTCAGCATCTCAAGAATCCTCTTAAACTTTATTTCCAGGACTTGAAACTCACCATGTGAGCCAGTTCATGAGCAATGATCGTAGCGATCCTTTCTTTGTTGGAGTTGGAGGAGAATGCTTCATCGTACAATAGAGCTGTCTCCCGGTATGTGATCAGACCCCAGTTTTCCATTGCCCCTGCATTAAAGTCTGGGATTGCTATCTGATCTGTGTTAGGACAGAGATTATGTTAATGTGGCTGATTAGTTGCTTGAAGTGAAAGAGGTTACCAGTTTAAAACAGCAGAAGTGCTTAAAACCTTTACCCAGTCACAGTGCAACAGTGTCAATTTAATCCACTATGGGTAAAAAAAAATCATTGCTTAACATCCTACTTAATTAAAAGTACCTATAGTAACGTAAATAAAAGTTTCAAAGGTGTCATAAATATCAGTTTATATATGCATAATAAAATGTCAAATAAAATAAGTGCGAGTACATCAAATCTTGGCCTGCAACATAGGACAGGCTAAGATTATATAACAATGAAGAATCACATTTTACCTGTTAATAATTGATAATGAAGATGACCTTCTCATAACAGGTCATAAAAAGTCACAACTGAAAGATGTGCGTATGATAAGAACATAATGGAGCTGACTGGATGCTGCAGCCAAGGTCTTGGGCAATAAAACTATATATTTTACAGTTTTGCCATAAACATACACATGATGCCAATAAACATGAGACCAAAAACTGACCTGAGATCTAAGATTAGATCAGTACACTGAGTAGACACATGTCCCCACTTTACATGTGAGCAGAGACTTAGGTGCATTTATTAATGAACAAAATGAACTTCAATCAGGACACCATAAAGATAAGGCATTTTTATGATGTGTTTTTTTGTACACTAACAGAAACTGTGATGCTGCTGAAGTCTATCATATCAACTGGTAAAGGAAAAAGTATAGCATTTTTTGTACACTGTTTTTTAATTGCTTTGTCATTTTGTGGTAGTTTTTTGAAGAAATATAATCTCTTCCAAATGTTGTCCCATTTGCATAAAAACAGCAAACAAAAAATAAAATCTTGATGTTATTTTGCATCTTTTTAATGAAATTTTGCATTTTGCTTATGGTCATTTAATGTCACTATAGGATAGGTTTTCTTGCCCTCACAGTCTTTGATTTGAGTTTAGTCGCTTATGACAAGCAAGAAATATAAAGTCACTTCATGACAAGGCCTCAGATCAGGTATTCACTTAGTACTTGATATGTTAGTATTGTTACTTATTAAATATAGACTTTTATCAAATTAAATGTACAGTGGGGCAAAAAAGTATTTAGTCAGCCACCGATTGTGCAAGTTCCCCCACTTAAAATGATGACAGAGGTCAGTAATTTGCACCAGAGGTACACTTCAACTGTGAGAGACAGAATGTGAAAAAAAAATCCATGAATTCACATGGTAGGATTTGTAAAGAATTTATTCGTAAATCAGGGTGGAAAATAAGTATTTGGTCACCTCAAACAAGGAAAATCTCTGGCTCTCACAGACCTGTAACGTCTTCTGTAAGAAGCTTTTCTGTCCCCCACTCGTTACCTGTATGAATGGCACCTGTTTGAACTCATCATCTGTATAAAAGACACCTGTCCACAGCCTCAAACAGTCAGACTCCAAACTCCGCCATGGCCAAGACCAAAGAGCTTTCGAAGGACACCAGGAAAAGTATTGTAGACCTGCACCAGACTGGGAAGAGTGAATCTACAATAGGCAAGCAGCTTGGTGTGAAAAAATCAACTGTGGGAGCAATCATCAGAAAATGGAAGACATACAAGACCACTGATAATCTCCCTCGATCTGGGGCTCCACGCAAGATCTCATCCCGTGGGGTCAAAATGATCATGAGAACGGTGAGCAAAGATCCCAGAACCACACGGGGGGACCTGGTGAATGACCTGCAGAGAGCTGGGACCAAAGTAACAGAGGTCACCATCAGTAACACACTACAACGGCAGGGAATCAAATCCCGCAGTGCCAGACGTGTTCCGCTGCTGAAGCCAGTGCATGTCCAGGCCCGTCTGAAGTTTGCCAGAGAGCACATGGATGATACAGCAGAGGATTGGGAGAATGTCATGTGGTCAGATGAAACCAAAGTAGAACTTTTTGGTATAAACTCAACTCGTCGTGTTTGGAGGAAGAAGAATACTGAGTTGCATCCCAAGAACACCATACCTACTGTGAAGCATGGGGGTGGAAACATCATGCTATGGGGCTGTTTTTCTGCCAAGGGGACAGGACGACTGATCCGTGTTAAGGACAGAATGAATGGGGCCATGTATCGTGAGATTTTGAGCCAAAACCTCCTTCCATCAGTGAGAACTTTGAAGATGAAACGAGGCTGGGTCTTCCAACATGACAATGATCCAAAACACACCGCCCGGGCAACAAAGGAGTGGCTCCGTAAGAAGCATTTGAAAGTCCTGGAGTGGCCTAGCCAGTCTCCAGACCTCAACCCCATAGAAGATCTGTGGCGGGAGTTGAAAGTCCGTGTTGCTCGGCGACAGCCCCAAAACATCACTGCTCTCGAGAAGATCTGCATGGAGGAATGGGCCAAAATACCAGCTACTGTGTGTGCAAACCTGGTAAAGACCTATAGTAAACGTTTGACCTCTGTTATTGCCAACAAAGGTTATGTTACAAAGTATTGAGTTGTATTTTTGTTATTGACCAAATACTTATTTTCCACCCTGATTTACGAATAAATTCTTTACAAATCCTACCATGTGGATTCATGGATTTTTTTTCACATTCTGTCTCTCACAGTTGAAGTGTACCTCTGGTGCAAATTACTGACCTCTGTCATCATTTTAAGTGGGGGAACTTGCACAATCGGTGGCTGACTAAATACTTTTTTGCCCCACTGTACATAATAGATTTAAGATTAAGATTTCATAGACTTGAGAAATCCATGCTGGTGCATCAGGACAGCTGTGCTGACTCATGATACAGTGAAGCTAAAAAGTGTGCAGTAGTAAACGTGCAGGCATGTAGATGTCTAGCTAATTGTGTGGTGGTCTTACCAGACTTGGGTAGAGGGTACGTGGCATTGTAATACTGCTCAAAGAATTTAAGGATTGGTCCAGTTTTGTTAAGGGCATACTGTCCTTGACCAGCTGCAATGGCGGACCTCCGGGCGAAAATGCGGATCTAAACCCAGATTACACAAAATAAAATAAAATTGAAAAACACTTTACACCACTTTGCAAAATAACATTATTCTATACACTTGTATTTCAAATAGTTTAAATCTATAGAAAGAGTACAGGGTACAGTCTAGGCACCATGATCTTAAAAGTACAGTCAATCATCTCCAAAAGTTGATTCTGTTCATCTGAACGTAATGTTTTCAGTGGGAGAAATGTTTCGTGACTCATCCAAGTGACTTCTTCACTTGCTGACTGCAGGTTTCATCTTATAAACAGTACATCTGCATCATGACTGAAACCAGCCCACTGAAGGAACAAAGGGCTGGGAGGTCAGTTCCTTCATCATCATGAGCATGCATCAAGACGTACCGTTAAAATTTTTTTTGCAGTTATAAGAAAAAAATAATAATGTTGAACTGAAAAATATGCATTATTAGTCTGACTTATGTCTTATGTGTTCACTTATGTGAACTTAGAATGAGTCCATTAAAAATATACAGGTGTGGGCACTGGTTTGTGGAAGCCACCAGGTTGCCCCGCCACTCAGGAATACAGCCCTCAAGATGGACATCGCTGTTCTGTCTAATTGTATTTTATGTATGCGGGTAGAGACCAACCTGACACTGGCCCGGTGGCGCCAGTGTCAGGCAGCCTCGCCTCTGTCAGTGCGCCCCAGGGTGGCTGTGGCTACAATGTAGCTTGCCATCACCAGTGCGTGAATGGGTGGATGACTGAATGTGTAAAGCGCTTTGGGGTCCTTAGGGACTAGTAAAGCGCTATACAAATACAGGCCATTTACCATTTTACCATTTATTAGTTGATGATTTCCATCTCAGTCTTTTATTTCTGAGCATGTCTTTGTTTGTTGGGATTCTGTATCAGGTCCTGATTGTTTTGTGTCCCAGCCAGCTAATACTGCCAGGAAAAAGTCTGATTTTAGTGAGCTGACTCCCAAGACTCCTAAGACTGTGTGTTTCAAGACTGTTTATTCTGGGACTGTTTGTTGTTCGGCTGAACAGGGCTCCCTTGAGACAGAAACTCTGCCCGGATCATGGCCAGAGACCAAGTTTAAGGTCTTAGTTGACCCCCAGAGGTTCTCATTCCTGCCTTGCTCCGGGCTCAGCCGAGCCTGCCCAGCCTCTGGGGCCTCCTGGGGGCCAGATGTTAAATTGACTTGATGCTATTTACTTGATTAAATTGTTCCTTTAAATTTTCTGTATCTTCAGCACAAGAAACTTTTACTAATTAGTTTTCTGTTTTACTAATAACATATTTGCTCTACTTGATCGGAAGAAAAGGCAACTGTGAAAATTACTGAAATCCACGTGTGAAAGTTTCTTGGAAATCAAACCACTTTGATTAAAGAATGTCAGAATTACTATGGGACAACAATTACCTCAACACCATCAATGCTGTTACCAATACTGTCGTAGTCACTGACAATGAATGCCAGCAAGTAAGTCGACATTTTCTCCGTTCGCTCAAAAACTGTCTTAAGCAGATCCTGGCCATCATGGTTGATTTCAGTTGTTTCTGAAAATAATTAAAATAAAATAAAATAAAGAGGTAACATTTTTATTTGATTGCTTTCCACTTCTTACCATTTTACTGACTAGACACAAAGTGTTTTTATACTTTATTGTTGTTGTCATATTTTATTGTTTAACTATGTGTTACATCCTCAATATTTAACTATGTAGTGACATCAATTTTTAAAACAAAAATATCTGCTCTGTTCTCAAACTAACCTATGTCCTTGCCATTGGACAGGGCTGTAGTTCCACGGTCGTGGATCAGCGTAATGAAGAAGTAAGCTTTCATAGCTGGCTCATCAAAGCAAGGGAAAGATTTCCTAGCATCTGTAGGCTGCATCTGGGTGGTAGCCATGACCCTGACAAGAAGAAGATAAATTAGCCTTGTGTGTAAAGAAGGTGCTACACAATTTAAACAAAATGGTTGGATGAAGGTTCTCCAAAATCCAGAAGATGTAATAGCTATATGCCCAAAACCTAGTTGGCCTATATAAGCAAAATAACAACAACAACATAAAAACTAGTAATTTCAACCAAAGTCCTCAACTTTTCTTATCTTGTAAGCAGTACTTGACATTGGTCAAGTTCGCGTCAAGTTACTTGAAAAAAGTAATCAGTAACTAATTACTGATTACTTCCCCCCAAAGTAATCCCATTACTTTACTAATTACTTATTTTCAAAAGTAATTAATTACTTAGTTACTTAGTTACTTTTTAAAAACACGATTTACAACCCCTGAATAGGTAATAAAGCGATAGATCTTTCAGCCCAATTCTACTTTTTCTGCATAATCCATCATACAAAATGTAATCAAATGGAAAAGTCTCTTTTTAAAACTTGTTTTATTAGTTTTAATCTTTTAACTTTATGCATCAAGCAAAAATTTAATTATATGCAACATTCTCTGACTGGAAGAAATTTGTTTAACATTTAAACCTATTTTCTGCACATTCCAGCACATAAAATAAAATATTTTTTGTGTTTACACTCAGTCTTTCAAATAGATGCAAGTAAA